CGCGAGTGGGGCCGCTTCCCTCAGGAGGGCCGCGGCGCGGGAGGCGGGAGCAGCCCGCGGGCGCCTCCTGCAGCCCGGGGTCCCGGGCGTCGGGACCCCCGCCCCTCCCTCGCTGTCGTCTCCGCTGCGGTCTCGTGCGAGCTGCCTTTGGTCTGGCCACTGCGTAGTTTACTTGGGGATGAGTCGAGGGCTCGCGGGAGACAGTCTCCGTCCTCGCGCCCCGGGGTCCTTCTCCCCGTTTCGGAGAGTGTTCTTGTCCCGGATGGCCCTCCCCTCCCCACCTGAAGGCGCCGGCGGCCGGCGGAGGGGCTTTGTCCGCCTCCGCGCCTGCCGGGGCTGCAAGGGGCCGAAGACGCGCTCGGCCCTGCGGGAACGGGGCGTGGGGGCTGGAGGGGGGAAGAGCCCCCGGTTAGGAGGAATAGTTACTGGCGGACCGAGGGCTCAGTTTACCTGCTCTCGCCGAGTTGGGGGGTGTTGGACGAGGTGCCCAGCTGTTCTCTGCGCGGGGACAGTCCCCTGTGGAGCCGGCCCCCCTGCGGAGTCAGAAGCGCACTCGCACCTTCTTCAGACTTGGGTGCCCCGGGCAGGCTGTTAACCTCCCTGAGCCCGTGCCGTTTGACCCATTGGTACCATCTGCCTCCACTTCATAGAATTGTTGAGAATGACGCTCAGATGTCGTAGAAAGACCACTTCATCAGTTTTGTTTTTCTGTCTTATTTCAGAAATGTTCTCTTGGGGCCAGAGTCTGGGTATATGTGAGTGCAAATCCTCACCCATTCACAAATAAGCCTAAGAATCTCGACTGAGAGGATCACTTCTTTGTAGGCCATTAGCCCAGGTAATTATTTTTTAAACAAACGTTTAAGACATTTGTCCGTCACTTGATATGTCAAGCACTGGAGTAAAAATATACAAGACAGATCCTTGCCCTAACAGGCTCAGACGTGGTGAGGATGGAGCAGGTGGGTGGCAGCGGTGGGAGACCAAAGTAAACAGCTCAAGTCAGCGCCCTAAGTGCAGTGACAAACGTATACAGAGTTCCCAGAGGATAGAAGAAAAGTCATCAAAGACAGAGAGGATGGGGCAGATAAGCCCCCGGATGTGGTGACACTCAGGGATGCACTGCACACAGGTAGCTCTCAACTCTTTTAATCAGAATAAGTGGGGAGGTTCTTTTAAAAAATGGAATCTGAATTTTATTTTTCTCCTAAGTTCTTTCAGTGACTCTGGTATGCATTTAGGGTTAAGAACCAGGGAGAGGGATGGAGGGCGGGTGTTCAAGGCAGTTGAAGGAGCTTCTATAAAGGCAGGGAATGCCAAATACCACCATTTTAGGAAGAGCAAGTAAGGGAGGATGGCAGGAAATGCCGAAGCCAGATTAGGGAGGGCCTTCTGTGGTGAGGTCAAAAATTAGAATTTTATCTCCAAACTGTAAGAATTCAAAACTCAGTTTTTGCTTTGCCCTTCAGCAGCATTTTGGAGGAAAAATTGGTGGATGAAACAAGAGCCAGAGACATTTAGGCTTCTGTAATCCACACAGATGGTGAAAATGTATTCTTCTGAGGCGGTGGCAGTGTCACTGAGAATAAAGTGCAGATATGATAAGGGAGATAGACTTTATGGAATTCATGAAGATGGGGGCTTATAGGATTACCAGGTAACTGATTTGAAAACTGAAGGGATCGTAATGGGAGCGTACAGGGTGAATAACAGATTTAAGCGGAGGGTTTTACTCTGTTTTTGACTTTGAGGTGCCTGTCAGGTGAGTAGAGGTTGACTTCATGTGGTTGGATATCAAATAGAAATTGTAGGTTGGGTTAGGCTGTCATTTATTGAGTGGCTCAATTACAGTTAAACACTGCATTGAGAGTTTTACATACGTTCGCAGTCTTTGGGTGGTTTCATTATAGGTAGTAATGGAAGCAGTGGTTTGAATTAGGTTACCCAGAAAGAGGATGTCAGTGAAGAGTCCTGAGGCAAGCCTTTGGAAACGCTGATATTGAGAGGGAGGAAAAAGGAAGAGGTGATTGTGAAGGAGATGAGGTAGAGGAAGTGAAAGGAGATTGGTGTGTTGTCTTAGCTAAAAAATGCATGGTCAGCATTTCTGTATGCTTCAGAGGCGGCAAGTAAAGAACGTCTGGGATTTGGTAAGACGTGGCAGTGAAATGTAAGGTTAGAGCCAGATTGCCAAGGAGTTGAGGAAGTGAATCCAGATTACTTTTTCAAGAAGTTTAGCTGGGAAAGGTAGAGGGAAGTGATTGCTATTTAAAGTTTCTGGCCGGCTAATACTGAGAAATGATATCCTCAGGGCCAGTCTTTGGAAAGTCAGTCCATACTTCTGATGAAGCATCCTATGTTACTGACAAATCAACTCTCTTCTGATGCTCAGAGTGCAGCTCATATTTCTGTCCTGCATTTTGAGGGTTCCCTGGACACCACCATCTGTGGCTCAGTAATAGTTCCAAGCAGTTAAAATCTGAGGAAATGAACAGAAATGACTTTCAGAAGAACTGGGTTGTGCAAAAACTTACAGGATTTGTGGTCACCTACCTGCAGTTTTCCCTTAAAATAAAAATCACATTGTATATCTCATTTAGATTTGGGGGGCTTAACTATCAGGCCGGTGATGATTTTAGATTTGGGGACATAACCACCCATTTATGACCTTTGGAGAGGAATCATAGAAACTGTTTCTGTTGTTGACATGCTCTATAGCACTATTTTCTGTATTCTGGCACTCATGGCACTCATCTGTTATATGACAAGAAAATTTAGTCCTTTCTGGTGTATGGAAGTAGGCTAGCTCTTTGGGTGAGTGAAACAAAAAGACTCCTTAATTTTCTTAATAGAAAGGTTTTGTTTTGTTTTTTTGGTTAAGTTAGTTATTTTAAAGTTACACCAGTTTATTTGTACTTCAGATCCTTGATTTTTTCAAAGTTTTTATTGACTGCACAAATCCTGCTTGACAAAACTGATGATGTTTGAGAAATCTCCGAGGAGTTTCACTTTCTATTCTTAGATCTTAGATCTTTTAAGTTCACTCCCCACTTTGAATTAGATCACCGGAAAAAACAGCTTCTGTAGACTTCTAACTTCCGAGTATTTATGATATTGGCATTTTAGGTGTAAGAAACTCTTCTTTGAATAAAATACTTTTATGCAAAACCATAATATCTGTTATATTACTTGGTATTCCCTAGTTTGCTGCACGCTTGCACAGGGTGGGCATTAGTAGAATGTAATTGAATTAGAATTAGTGTCAGGAAAGAGTAGGATTCTCTAGCTGAACTAGCTTACTTTTTTTATTTTTCAAGTGAGGACTGTGTAACTCACATTTTTTTTTTGCTTTGTTTTTCAGGAAGCTCCTAATTTAGGACTTAGTGAAATCGTCTTATAAATGAGTTTTGATTTCTCCTTTTTAATGTCCTTTTCTGTATGTTTTCTGAATGTCCCTTTTTATATGTCCTTTTCAGCTTTAATGTTGAAAGTCACCCTAATTTTTTTGCATGAAGAAAGCATACAATTAGTACTTTAATAAATTAATTTTAAAAATTCACAAGACAGGCGCCTGGGTGGCTCAGATGGTTAAGCATCTTGCCTTCGGCTCAGGTCATGATCCCAGGGTCCTGGGATCAAGTCCCGCATCGGGCTCCCTGCTCAGCAGGAAGCCTGCTTCTCCCTCTGCCTCTGCCTCTCTCTCTCTCTCTGACTTTCATGAATAAATAAAACATTTAAAAAAAAAATTCACAAGACAAATGCGTGTATTTGATTTTACTTACGCATTTATATATAATTCTTTAGTCAATGATGTAAGAAGAAAATAAGGAATTTTTTTTTAAAAAACAGCTTATTTTAGGAATTGGCAGTATGCCAAAAAAGCCTCTGCAGTGAAATACAATTTCTATCAAGAGGTCATTGATTTCCTGTTAGCAGAGATTTTGCACTCTTGAGTTTAGGATGATAATGCATTTGAAAACATCACACTGCCGGGTTTCTGTATCCAAATATTTAATGACTTGGTCATGTTTCTTAACCTTTTATTGTCCCTTCTCCCTCCCTGAAAGGAAACATTTTAGACATTTCTTTCCTATGAATTTCCCATGAATTTTAAACCACCAGTACGTTATATATCTCTTTATGTATTTTATGCCTAAAGGTAGGACTTTTTTGTGTCCTACTAACCAGTTTTCATCTCCTTGAGGATGATGTCACCCCTGATGAGAATGCCTGGGTTAGGTCCATCCTGTTATGAAATGGACTTAGTTGTTAGTGTATAGTTTACAGTTGGGTTTGCAGCTTGTTTCCCATTAATTAGGATGATATTTTATATTCATTGGGTAGTTAATTTAAGGTCAAATTTCTGAAGATCAGTCTTGTTGGATATTTTTCTGGGCCAATTCCCAATTAATTATCATTTTCATATGAAAGAACACTTGCTTCATTCTTCTTGGGTGTGTGGTTTTCTTCCTTGTTGCAGACTGGCTGATAGCTGTGTAGATAATTGTCACTTTGGGTTTGTCTGATGTTTTTCTCATGAATAGGCTGGGGTTATGGGTTTTGGAGAAGCATCCTACAGCATTGAAGTTCCTTCCTCAGTACATTAGGTGAGGGGTTATCAACTCCGGTGAGGTGAGCCTTGAGTACTTGGTTAAGTTTGTGTTTGCCAGATGTCTCCACTGTAATGTCATAGTATCTCCCTTTCCGTACCCTCTTTTGTGGTGAGTCAGCAAGTCCAGCCCACGTTCAAGATGGGGTGGGATTAAGCTCCACCTCTTGGAACAGTATGTATATGTATTATTTGGAATTCTTCTGTAAGGAAGGTTGGTCTCCCACATTTGTTTATTCATGCAGTCATTTATTTATATCCGTTTGGACTCAGGTGTATCTATACTGTGGGTTATAATCCACAATTACATTGTTACTTTGTTGATCAAATTGTTTCAGATTTGGCCATCCAGAGCTCTTTGAGGTTGGCTCCAGTGTTCCTTTGACATGCCCACATCCTTTTATATTTTGAGTATTTCCAGGCTCACCTTGTATTTTTGTTTAGTCATAACACATTGTTTACTGATGATGAGCTTTGTATTTACCTTTGTATGCATTTAGTTAAGAATAAAAATATAGCATCTTATTTTTATTACACCTCATTGGAATTGGAGATCTCTTTGGATTTTGGCTTCCATCCTATTTGCTAATCCACTCGGTTCCGTGCCGTCTGTAGTTCTGATAAACCTGCCTCATTCGTGCATCTTTATTCAAACCTTTGACACATTTGGTTCTTGGGATTTCCTCTTGTTTCCTGGTACCTTCCTGTTACTTTGCTCTTTTTGAGACTGCTAGGATTTGGAAAATTACTTTATCTTAACCCTTTCACATGAGTTTGGATGGTGGAGGCTCTGATGTTATTACAGAAACAAAAAGTTGGAGATAGTAAAAAATGGTATTAAACTTAGTAGCAATAGGTTAACATTTGTAGCTATTACAGCTTACAGTGGGGTTCATACACACCGTGTGCAGATTCTTGTACCTTTACTTTCTAAACCAGAGAACATTCTCTTGAGTTTTGTTATTGGTATGGATTAATATGGATTTTTATATTTCCATGGATTTCTGGAAAAATGTCTTCTAGGAATGTAAAGGTTCTCTGAACTTTTGACTTGGCTCCAGTACATCACTAGAATACTCCAAAATCTATACTTTGAAGGCATTGATAGGTTTTTGTCTCTGTAGTTTTCCATCAGTACTACACAGTTTTGAGTTTTCTCTATAGTACAGTTGTGTATTGTGTGATGTTTTTTTTACTAACAAAGTACTTTCGTTTCATATTTTTTATGTGTCAAAGATAAAGTTTTTAAGAGTGGGTTCAAATTTGAGTTCAGTCAGTAATTGATAAGCTGACCAGGAGAACATTCTCCATGCGGTGGAGGCACATTTTAAGTTAGAGACGAGGGTCACACAGGAG